ACGGCGCTCACTGACAGCCCAGTATGGACAACGTGGTATTTTGGATACTTCACAGACTTACTGCAGTCAGCCATGCTGACACCCCATAAAGCACAGTGACTCCTACACTGCAGATTTTAAAAAAGGAATGATGGAGCTAGGACTTGAAAACATATACCCATGAAAAGTTCAGGGGTCTCCCCAAATAAACCTCACTCTGCTACCAAGCACAAATTCAGGGATCCCCAAGAATCCTTCAGATTTGACGAGCTAAACTCACTGACTGGCATCTGCAGGCAGGATGGAGGCCAGCAGAGCGCCACACATGCCACTTCAGGGGCCCCTGCCCCATGAAGACACACAAGGGCTCACTTCTCCCAGCAGTGCCGAGTGACAGTACTCAAGTTCACCTGAGCTCAGTCATCTGGTTTCTAGCCCCTGCAGAGGCTGAGTCAATACTTCCTGGCCCAGCTTCTATTCAAAAGCCACCAGCCTGGTGCACACTGTCTGGTCTGCCCCAGGGCCACAGATGAACACAGGCAGGAAGGACAGTCCAAGGCTGAGGACTCCTCCCAGCGGCTGGGGGCAAAAGTCAGTCCTTTCTTTAGAAAAAAATCCCTTACTACACAACCAACTTCAAAGTCCACACACTGTTCACAAAATGAAAATACAAAACTAAAAGGAATATTAATTTTAAAAGAATTGTGCATATTTTCATTTTTACATTTTTTTTGAGACAAGGTACTGACAGCCCAGGCTGGCCTTGAACTTTTGATCCTCATACCTCCATTTCCCAAATGCTGTGATTACAGGTATGCACAACCACACCCAGCTGTTCATTTTTGCCCTCTTAAGAAGAGCTTTGTGTGTTATTAGTCAGTTATTATTGTCTGGAGGGGTCCTCCAGATATAGTCACACCTAGGAATCAGTCAGGGACATACTGGCTAGAGGCTGCAGACCCTCATAACTCAGAAGTGCAGATGACCTGGGTAGAGTAGAGGAGTGTGGGGCAGTGTGGGGAGAAGCGGTCATGGACTACTGAGATGTGACCTGGCGAAGGAAGCTCTGACGGGGGTCACAGACACTGAGCGCCTGTGAAGGCGCGCACAGTCACAGGCTCATGTGGCAGACAAAGCTACAACAGTAAGATTAAGCCCTAGATGTACCCTAGTGTGATTTCAAAGGTCCCATCTCGAAACCCAGTTTGGAGCTTCCATCTTAACCTCTGATTTCATCACAGTAGAGCTAGATCCTCTGAGCAGTATCACCAAAATGCCCTGTTTCTTTCTGACATTTCACTACAAGTAGTCTCTGGGTGCAATCAAGCCTGGGATAAGCCAAGCTCCACAAGTGCCAGAGGAAGAAAATCCCCAGGCAGGTGGTTTCATTAGGGGAGCCCTGTAAGAAAGACCTTCTCACTGAGAGAGGGGACAGGGCCACAGTGCTTCCTTCGCCATCTTTACGCATGACGAGTCCCTTTGTCTGAGGGGGCTTCCATGATTGGGGGTCTGAATGGGAAGAGAACCTGCCCATGCCCAGGGACGCCTCCCGCCCCCCCCTCCCCCGGTCTCCAACCTGTGCTATGCCCTATGCCCTATTTTTCCTTGGGCAAGACTTGCATTCTGTTAGCCTCAGTTTCCTCCTTTGGAATATGAGAAAAAAATAGCAACTGTCATAAGGATTAGATGAATGAATGCGGGCATGCTGTGGTAGTGACCTTCATAAATGTTACCAGTTACTGCGCTCATCAGCAGACTCCAGAATAAGGACTGACACCGGTTGTGTCGTGGGCACTGGAAGATGCTGGAGATAATGAAAAGGTTATGTAGAACAAGATAACGACCTCACAGTGCTACAGGGAGAGCCTCGATCTTGATAGTCTATCATTGAAAAGTGAAAGTGAAATACAGATTTAGGGGTGGCGGGAAGACTTAGTAAAAAGGAAACTACATCCACCAAGAACAAGGACACAGGCAGTAAAAGTGACCTAAGCACGTGGCACTTATCCGGATGCATCTACACCAGTCCTCCCACAGCAGAACTAACCAGAATTCAACTAATTGTAACAGTAGAGGATCCTGGGAAGATGATGGAGCAGTAAACTTGAGGAATACTTTTCCCACCCAGAACTTGAGTGACACAGCTATTTTGGAACTCGGAGTCTCCTGAGGCCCTGTAGCCCGACTTTCTGGAACAACATGCATGAAGGTGGGGGAGCCAGTGGGCAGCAAAGAGCCCTTTCTCCCACATATTGGAGGTCTGTGCTCCGAGTGCTGACTGCTCCTTCTGATAACAGAGTGCGGACTCCGAGGTGTGCAGCCATGCTAAATAACCCTTAGCCACTGAGGAAGTCTAGAGAGAAAACCAGAATGAGAATGAAAACAAATAGATCAGAAATCATGGGACCCTAAGCACAGCTGTCAGGGACACTTATAGCACTATGTGCTTATGCGTGAAGGCAGGAAAAGTCCATACAGAAGCTCTCTTCTTAAACAGTAAAAAGCAAAGAAATCCCGAGTAAATAGACAGAGGGCATAACAAGAAAAGCAGAGACCAGCACCACTGAAGTCAGGAAAAGAGATCAAACCAAGCAGATTCTGTGAAAAGACAAAACAAATGAGAAAACCAAAGAGAGATGATAGAAATATTTGGAAACGAAGCAGGATGTTGTGTAAACCTCAGGGACTACAGGGCAGGTGGTGCAGCACACCTGTAGTCCTAGCTACTTGGGAGGCAGAGATCAGGACTGTAGTAGACTGCAGTTCCAGGCCAGCATGGACAAAAAGTTCATGTGGTCTCATCTCAGCAGATCAAACAGGCATGATCATGCTTACACTTGCTCTTGTGTTACCTGCTTTCATTTAATACTTGGCCAAGCCCCTGCTCTCAAGTTTGTATCGCATCAGGCACTTGTCATTTCAGCCTCAGATGGCTGCATTACTGAGCAGATTTCAGCTGCTTCTCTGTCATAACTTTGCAATCCATCCCTTTCAGGACTACTGAATGAATCCCTCTAAAACGCAAATCTCACTGTGTCACTTGCCTACTTAAAAGTCTCCACTGCCTCCCCTGCCCTACAGGAAAGAGATGGCAGTGATCTTGCTCCTGCACCATCACCCCTACGTCTTTTTCTTGCAACCTTCCTCTCAACCTCCAGCCATATCAACCTATGCGTGGTTCTCCCAAATGTCCCAGTCTCTGCCCTTCTCCATGGACCTGTGCCTGTATTGTCTGCTGTTTGAACGTCCCTTCTCCTTGGCTGCCATTTAAAATCTAGTCAAACAGCCAAGAATGCCCCCTCCATGCTCCATTCCGTCCTTCCATCACAGCTCAGATAATACATCTGGGCATTTCTTTAGACATTTGAGTTTTTCCGTTAAGCCATTCTTGAAGGAAAGGGCCATTTTTCAATCATCTTTGAATTCTCAGTAACCAGAGCAGCAGTGGACACTCACAAGTACCCACTGAACATCATAGCAAATGACAAAGCTGTATGTCAGACTCTCACCTGCTCTTACTTTCTTAAGATTTCCTCAGTAACTCTCTCTGTAGTGACTTTGCCATTCAAACGCCAGGTAGTCTTTGTTTCTTTGTCCTTGATGCTCCCAGAACATATTCTTTCTGAACGGTCAAGTCTCTGAGAGACCACGGGTCAGACATACATAATCTAACCGCAATCGAAGCATGAGGGTGCTTTGACCTCATGTTTACTTGAGGCGAGAGTGTGTGGAATTTTAATTGTGTGCTCCTCAGATATTAAACACTGTTAACCTGAGAAGTTGTTCAAGAGGTCGCTGCGGTTACTGGGAGGTGAGGCAGGCAGTGAACCACTCCCGTTCAAATTGAGCCTGATCTACTTGCATAGAGTATGAGAAGACATAGCTCACGCTTGACCTTGATTACTTTTTTGGTATTAATCTGATCTTACTGTAGTAGACCTCACACTCCATAAAACCCAGACTTTCACAGTGTACAATCAGTGGTTGTTCATATAGCCATAGGCTGTACAACCCTGTCACCCCATGGTTCCAGAACATACTCATTGTCCCAAATGGAAATCACAGACCCCAGCATCCAGTCCAGTCAGGTCTTCCTCAACCTCAGGCAACCACCAATGGACTTCTTGTCTCTGTGGATTGCCTATCCTGGAAAAGTACATCCTTGGGCCTTTTGTGGCTGGCATTTTCACCTAGAAATTATGTTTTTAAGGTTCATTCACATCCATCTTTTACAAAAGGATTTCCTCAATGGAGAATTTGAAAAGGAAACTAGGCAGAGCAGTATTCTGAGCCTCTAGACACCCACTACAACACTCAGGGATCCACCACAGGGCCAAGACCTCCCCACCTTGCATGAGTTTGAATCAAATCCCAGACAGGGCCTTACTTTTTTTTTTAACTATGTCAGCTAGGATACGAGGATGATGGTTACTCACAATGGTGTTCTAATAAGGTTTTTCCTTCTACTTACCGAGAAAAGGATTTTTTTCTTCACAAGGCATTTTTACTTAAAAAGATCTCAGATGATGGTCCTTGTTCTAACAGACACAGTAAAGGGGAACGTGAAATGGTACCATATGCTGAAATCCCGAATCACATTCTCCACATGCCAAAATTCAAAGCCATCTGAAACTTGATGAACACCTCAGTATTTCTCCTGACAGCTGGAACCTCACATGGGGCTGTTTACTATTTTTGCTTCCTCTGTTATCTTGGGAAACGACTAGAGGTCATTACAAGGGTGTTTAGCTTTTGCTTTTTTAGCATACACCTTTCTAAAAATTACAAAGCACTTCAAGATGTCTAGATGAGGACTAAAAAAAAAGAAGCCATTTCACACAGAAAAGAGTTTATGAACCCAAGAAACAAAATTTAGGGCTTTCTTTTTCCTTGTAGGGCCTTCTTTTTCTTAATGTTTGTTTTAGGAAAGGTAGCAGACAAGCAGATGATCACTGTAATAAAGAGAACAGAAGTAAGCGTGGGAAGCATGGGGGTAGAAGGCATATCTACGGCATCCTTACCTTCCTGTGAGCTATCAGGAGGCAATTAGAATGTTCGTGCTCACACGCAATTTCGTAGTCGGGGATCAGATCCACCAGCTCGCCGACAAAGTGCACCACCTCCTCATGCCAGGGCACATTGGCCATGGTGAGGCTGCTGGCCGAGCTTTCTCCACAGTAGGTGACGCCCTGTGGGGACACGGCAGAGTCAGGTGATCACAGACCTCACTGAGCTCACAGAGCCAACCTGATCCCACCCACTGCTTAAGTGAAGAAAGTGACAGAGGGGGACATCTGGGGAGATCAGACAAGTGGTCCAGCCCAGGTCCGTCACAGGGTGATGCTGGGCATCTCTGTTGCCTGGTGCTGTAAACCTTGCAGTCGGCAGCCTATCGTCCTGTCAGATTCGTGTGCATCGAGGCAGGTTAATTCTAAAGGACGCCCCACCCCACTGGTTGGGGTACAGTAAACACCCACAAAACTAACCGACGCACGGAAGGTGCACTTCCATGTGGCAGCACAAGTGAGATGGAGAGTGGCGCAGTTTGTAACACGTTTTTCTGTAAAGGGAATCCCTTTGAAATTATTCTCTAAGGAGATCGCTTTATGATGCAGCCTGAATACAAACAAAGGACCACGACAGAAGAGAAATACGCTTGTGGAGATGCGTGCAGACCTTAACACGCACCTACGTATGTCTTGCCGATACAGAAATGCCTGGTAAATACTGCTTCGGTAATCTCCATTAGCTTCTAACTGAAACTCTACCCAACAGCCTAGACATACAAGACCCAAAAGTTTCACAACTAAGCTAAGTGCTCTACTTGGTAAATTACATATGAAAAATGATTAATTTTCTAATAATAACTTTCTGGGTTTTTCAAATATTCCCAAATCAGCAGGCTGTAAGTATGGGTCAAGTGATTGAGCACCTGCCTGGCAAGTGAAAGGCTCTGAGTTCAACCCCTAGTACTACCAAAAAAAAAAATCCCAAAATCAAACTTTTTTTTTGTGGTATTGGGAATTGAACCCAGAGCCTCATGCTTGCTACCACCTGAACCATGCCCCCATGACCCTTTTGTTTTGTTTTTGAGACAGGATCGCCTTATGTATCCCAGGCTGGCCTCAAACTCACCATTCTCCTGCTTCTGCCTACCAAGTAGCTGAGATTATAGGAGAGCCCCACCACACACAGCTCCAAATAAAACTTTTCTTGACAAATGGTTTGAATGTTCTAGAAACACTTTCCCTGTGATATGTGCACCCCCACACACATATACATAGATATACACACCACACAGACTAGAAGAGGCAGAGTGGCATTAAATGGAAACATTTAGAAGAAAGAGGAAGAGGAGGAAGAAAGCTCACAGATGAGTACTGCAGAGCACCCTGGCCCTGCAGGTGGCCAGGCTGGAGTTGACAGAGGCTCCACTGCTGAGAGGCTGAGTTGTGCCTGACGCTGAGGTGGCCCTGGTGATAGAAACTATCCTTGCCTAGTTAGATTCTAACAGACAAGAAAGTCTTCTCTAATTGCCCACTGATTCACAGAATTAATTAAACTGGATGTGAGTTCTGGATGATTTTTAAAAAGTAATAATATAGTTTGAAATGTTATTAAGAAAATATGGCCGAGCCAGGTGCCAGTGCTCAGACCTATAATCCTAAGAACTCAGGAGGCAGAGATCAGGAGGATTGAGGTTCAAAGACAGCCCAGGTAAACAGTTCTCAAGACCCAATCTCGAAAATACCTAACACAAAAACAGAGCTGGTGGAGTGGCTCAGGGTGTAGGCCCTGAGTCCAAGCCCCAGTGGAATTTTACTCAGCCACAAAGAAGAATGAAATTTTGTCATTCGCAAGTAAATGGATGGAACTGGAGAACATCATCTTAAGTGAAGTTAGCCAGGCTCAGAAGGCCAAAAATCACATGTTCTCAATCATATGTGGATTACAGACCCCAAACAAACGCAGCAATATTATTGGACATGGGTCACACGCTAAGGGGAGAACATGCACAGGAGGCATAGGGAAAGGGAAGGAAACCTAAAACTTGAATGTGGTTGATGTGCTCTCTGTTGAGGAGCAAATCAAGTAATCTTAAACTGGCAGAGCCCACGATGGGAAGGAGACCAGGAAGTAGCAAAGAGGTCTGCTAGAGACGAACCAAAGTGGATTGCAATACGCAAGTGCATGGAAGCAAAGCTAGAAATCTCTCTGCATAGCTATCTTTATACCAAACTAGCAAAAACACTATATCTTTCTTATTATCTCTTATGTCTTCTCTTCGACAAAATTAGAGAACAAGAGAGCGGAACAGGTTCTGCCTGGAAGGAGGGGTGTGTGGCACAAACAATGTATACACATGTAAGTAAATGTAAAAATAATAAAGAAAGAAAACAAAATATGGCTGAAAATGCAAAAACAAAACAAACCAGGAAAGTGATTTGTTGATAGGCCATAAACACACTTGACCTAGTTTAAATACTGCTTCTAGAACGTGAACTACACAAACAACATGTATGCAGCAGCTAATCCAGAGGTAACTCTTTCACTTAAAATGCAGCTGGAGAAGGCACAAAGATTTCAGAGAAGATCCCATATTCATGATGAGGCTTCTGAAAATGTCTTCATATTTTATTACTCGGCATAATACACTGCAAAGCATCTCAGGAGATCTGGTTGGGAGTGGAATGAGAGCACGGCCACAGCCGCTACAGCCTGTCATGCTTGTTGAGATTTAGGAAGCACCTGCACGTAAAGGTTCCCATTGAAGTCCATGGTGCAGGAACCTCTGGGCCAACCCCAGCCTGAGCCTCCAGGTGACTCAAACTTGAGCTGCTCTCAGAACCCTGGCCTCACTGGGTTTAGGCTCCTGATAGCCGCCATCCAGGGCTCTCTGCTTCAAGCACTTCCCATCCAACTCTCTAGTCATGGTGGCTTTCACCCTGACTTTATTCCTCAGCACAGCTGAATTATCTAGAAACACTTGGATTTCCCTCACATGGTGACTGAGACCTCCTTCACCGTGACTCCCACCCCTTGGCCCATTTATCACCAGCAGCAGGTCCTCCCTCCAACTTGTGAAAAACGACCTCAGGACAGCACAGGAATGCTATGTGAATTTAAAATGCAAAGTCACTCACTCCAGAATCTGCAGGCTGAGGAGGGACAAGTAGAACCAAGGAGAGCTCTCGCAGCTCAGGACCTGTTACACCCCGTCAGGTCTGTGGAAAAGCACACCCTGGCCATCACACATTGGTTTCTACTGGTCACCTGCTTCAGGAGGTGGGACCCACAGCTTCTCTGTCACTGACTGCTGGGAAAGTCTCCTGAGGGTTCATGGTCTGTGGGCAGAGCAGTATCTTACAATTTGACCATTTGATCTTCGACTGACTGGACGTAACAAATTCCTAATACTATTTTTGTTCCTGGTTTGGTGAAGGAAGAAATACTGACTTCATGAATATTTTCTCAGTGATATTCCCAAAACACATCACTTCTTTAATCTAGAAGTGCTTCAACAGCTCCAGGCAAACCAGTCCAGCTGTCACCGTGGCACTGGAGGCCTTTCCCACCTTCTTCTATAGCCAATGGGGTGAGCCCTGGCCTTTGCCCACACGCCTGAGTGTCTCGAGAGCTGGGCCTGGTCCAGGGACCCCAGCCCCATCTGATGGCATCACAGCCTATGCAGCTGTGTTTCCAGATAGTGGTGCGATAATATGTCTGATGTTGAGCTTGTAGGTAGCAGGGCTGTGCCTGGTTCCTCTCTGGGCCCCCAACCAATGTAACTGCATGAGCAAAGATCAAGTCCCTGTTCTTCTATGGTAGTCAGCTCCGGAGCTCTTCTGCTGGAGTCTCACTCATATTCTTCAGGACTTTTCTTCTCTTTAACGATTTGAAGCTGCGAAACACAGCCAGGCACTGGACACAGATGAACAGTTGGCAGCCTTGCCTCTTCAGGAGGAAGGCTAAGGCCTGGACTTGAAGGTATTGTTTTGCAAAGCAGGTTCTACACTGCACACAGTAAGCACTGCACACGGATACTGAAGGGGCTCGAAGTCATTTGACAAGTAATTACTGATCACTCGCTGCTCTCAAGGTGTGACGCGAGGCTGCGAGTGCAAAAGCAGCAGTTCACTTGCAAGTAGATTTTATTGTTAAAGCGCTCATAAAGCAGGTGTTTGTAATATGAAACATGTTTTCACAAATGAGCAGGCAAATAATGATGGTTAAGATTTCAGGCCTGTTTACATCTATTGAAGCTAAAATACATGTTAATTTACAGGGAACATAAAAGACAAATATTTTTCAAGACCAGCAATGAAAAAAGGGGAAATCAATATGACAAAGAAATAGCTTCCATTGATCTGTTTAAATAAATGTGTCTAATGGAAATCGATCCAAGCATGTGCTCAGTGGAGGCACAGGTCCCCCACTGAATTCCCAACACAAGCCTCCAGACACAGTTATTCTAATCTTACCATTGAGAAAATTTAGGCTCAAGGAGGATGTGACCTGTCCTGGGTACATTTTCAGTATGTATCAAAACTGCTCTGCCACCTCCCACAGGGTGCTCTCTCGTGTGCAGCAGGGAGAGCGAATCCCAGGACACCACATGCCTGGGGGACACACCCAATCTTCTTCCTTTCCTCCTCTCCCTCCCCACGCCCCTCCTTCTCCTTCTTCTCTTCCTCCTCTCCTTTTTTCTTTTTTGAGAGAGGGTCTCACTATATGGCCCAGGCTGGCCTTGAACTCATGTCCCTCCAGCCTTGGTCTCCCAGCTGCTGACAATCTCCCTCTTGACCCAAGACAGTCACTACTATGACATATATAACCAAGTGAAGTGGTTCCCACATGCTTTGGGCTCATAAATAAAAGGAACAGAGAAAGCATGAGGAGGGAGAGAAAGGAGGAAGACAAATGAAGGAAGCTGAACGGGAGCGCACGTATGTGAGCAGCCTTAGTGGAGGTGTATTTGATAATGTGCACATTTCACACTCAAGTTCCACAAAGTAAAGATCAGCCACCCCACTGAAATGCAGACAAAGGTGTCAGGGGCATTGTGCTGGCTTCTTCAGGGAGTCCTTGGCACTGCACAGCCTGGGACCACATCTTAGGACAGTGAGATAACCATAGGCACCATGAGTTCAAAAGGAGACTGGGGAGATTTTCCTTTTTACTGAGCGTGCTGGTGAGGAGCAAGCCTTCCAAGGGTTAGTTCTAACCTGACCTGTGCTGCCATGAAAGGCCCAGGGTCTGCCCACTACCCTGTAAGCCACAGCCCACTGAACTGCAGAGCCACCAGGATGACCTCTGTGCCTCTGTCCCAGGTCTTCCTTACGGACCTGACAGGTAAACCTTGCCCAACAGTCACTTCAGAGTGCTTACTATGGGAAATATTTGAGGTCATCTTAGCCTGGTCTCATCAAACAGATTTTGGACAGAGCTTGTTACTGTTATTTTAAAACTCTTCCATTTTAGAGAATTTTAAAACTAGGACAACAAAAAGATGCCTTTTTAGACACTAAGCTGTTTAATGCTGTGCACAGGAAGGCACTCTGTAAAAACGGAGTCCATTTCAGCCTTTCTTTCCCTCAGTGCTGGGGTTAAACGTAGAGCCTCACATACCCAAGGCAAGCACCCCACCACCGAGCCCATGTCAGTCTTCTGAATTACAAAGGTTGGTGGTATGGTGGTCACACCTGTAACCCTAGCACTCAGGAGGCTGAGGCAGGAGGATCGCAAGTTCTAGGCCAGCCTGGGCTACCTAGAGAGCCCCTGTCTCAAAAATAAACAGAAGAAAAAAATCACAAAATTAATGCATGCTTGTTATAAGATATTATAACACAATACAGAATTTTGAAAAGTGAAATTAATCAGACTTTCCTTTCCCTTCTCCCAAATAAGTTTTCCATAGTTTTATTTTCTTTTTTCTTTTTTGGTAGTACTGGGGTTTGAACAAAGGGCCTCTTGCTACGCAGGTGCTCTACCACTTGAGCCACAGCCCCAGACTGTAATCCTACACCTCCCCTATAGCTGGTATGACAGGCATACATCATCACACCTGGCTTTTTGATTGGGATGGGGTCTCACTAACTTTTTGCTCAGAGCAGACCTCAAACTGTGATCCTCTCAATCTCTGCTCCCTGAGTAGATAGATGGGACTACAAGTGTGAACCACTGCACCTGGTCTATACTTTTCTTATATAAATATATCTGAACATATAGTTGGAAATGTAATCAAATAATAAATATTCTGTAACTTGCTTTTGTCTTCTGACAGCATGTTATATTGAGTAAGCATCCACTTTGCTACTTCTGTGGCTGGTGGAGTGGCTCAAGTGGTGGAGCACCTGCCTAGCAAGCATGAGGCCTTGAGTTCAAGCCTCAGTGCTGCAAAAACAAAACAAATGTAGCAGATGGGAACATTTTGCTACTTCCCCTTAAAAGGAAGACAATTCATAAACTTGCTGCAGGAGGGAGGTGAGTTAACACAGCATGTCTCTGATCCTGCAATGGACCAGTGCCTGGCATGCAGGACATTTCTACCCAAGACACGCTGCTCTTCCCTGATGTAACACCACTCTCTACTATGCTATATTTATCATTAAAATATTTTAAATCATGGCTATGAATTTTAAATTATTAAATCTCTCAAAGTACCTCATTTTAATTCTGTACCTTTTGCCTATTTAATAAAGTACTCATTTCACAAATAGCATGTCCATATCACACTTTTTGTCTCTATTGCTTTAATGGGAACTGGCACTCAAAGAGACCTTAAAATTGTACAGTAGGAACCTTAACTGAAAGAAACTATGTTGTTACAACATCTTTATCTATTTCCTAGTTTGCCAAACTAAAAAAAATACCCATCAGAAGTACAGTTTATCAGGCAGCCATTTTCTTCCAGAACATAAGGTTACTGAGCTGGCAGAGTGGCTCAAGTGGTGGAGTGCCTGCCTTGCATGGGCGAGGCCCTGAGTTGAACCCCAGCACCACTCCCCTACAAAAAAATTTAAAAAATAAGATTCACTGTTTTCCAAATTATAAAACATGACTGCAAGAGAAAGAGGGGGAGAAGGAAGGAGGGAGAGGAGGGAGATAAAAGGTAATCAAGTCACCTAGCTGACTAGCTTCATAATAAGAGATTTTACTGTAACATAATTTGAAGTGACATTCTTTAATAGCTAAATCATAAATTAAAATACCACTCATCTCTGACATTGGCAAGGCTTTCTTAAACCAGAACATACATTTTCAAAGGTAGTTTCTATCTTTGTGTCATTAACACTCCTGCTAAAGAGTAACCTTTTGAAATTAGCAGCAATTTCAAAAGAAAGGAGTGTCTGTGGGCTGGGCAGAGATCAAATGTGCCCCCTTGGTGAGGGGTCAGCATCCATCTGCTCCCACCTCCCCACCCTCCAGGTCCAGTAACGCAGAAGCACTCAGCTGTTCACACAGCTGAGCAGCTTTGCAGCTCCCTCTGCGTGGAGCACTTAGTTTCAAAACACATTCTAAAATAGCAGAGCCAGCTTTCAGAGACCCAGGAAATTTTCCTGCCATCTTGTCTCATTTTGTGGATGCTCAGTTGCCAACAGAGTCACTTCCTCTTAGCTGGGTTTGGTGGCCATGCCTCCATTCTCAGCACTCAGGAGGATGACACAGGAAGATTTTGAGTTCAAGACCAGCCTGAGCTACACAGTGAGACAATGTCTCAAAAACAAACAAGAAAAGAAGTCCTTTGCCTCCTAACTTATTCCACAGCTATAAGAAACCATTTCACAGTGATGAATAACAAATCATTATTTCCAGCCCCATCTTACCTCCAAGTTCCAGGCACGTATGATATATGACCTATGAGTCTATACTGTAAACTGTCCCATCTTCCACGTGATTACTTAAGCTGAAAATCCAGGTACTATTTAAGTA